CTGTTTGCAGGAAAAATGAATAGACTTGGAAAAGTCTATTCAATAAACATTTGGGATTGAGTGAAATCACATAATTTAAAATAAAGAAATTAAATTCTAAAATTAAATTTAAGACTTATCAAGTGACATTTGAAAAATCAAAACACTTTACCTTAATTTAGCTGAACGCAGTATTCTGGTGAGTGACACACAGTTTCCTTCCATGATACCCTTTCCTGAATAGACTTGGAAAAGTCTATTCAATAAACATTTGGGATTGAGTGAAATCACATAATTTAAAATAAAGAAATTAAATTCTAAAATTAAATTTAAGACTTATCAAGTGACATTTGAAAAATCAAAACACTTTACCTTAATTTAGCTGAACGCAGTATTCTGGTGAGTGACACACAGTTTCCTTCCATGATACCCTTTCCAACTGTGGGAATAATGCTTTTGCGGCATGCAACATATAATGAACATGCCAACCAGTGTATAATGTCTCCCTGGCAGGGAAAAGACAAACAAAAAAATGGATGTATGTTAAAACGCTTAAATTCCAGGATGAGAAGATATCTGAAAATTATGTCTAATTATCCTTCTACATATACAGGGCCATACAAAGATATTCACCCAAAGTCACAAAGCTAAGTTAGTTGCAATAATGGGTATAAAACTTCATACTCTGTCCTGTTCTTATAACATGATAAATCAGTACTAATCTAAAAACTGAGCTCTTCTCTTTATTCCAAAACTAGTATTACTAAAAGCATTGTTTTAAAATTTCCCAGCATTAGCTGGGCATGGTGGTACACGCCTGTAATCCCAGCACTCAGGAGGATGAGGCAGGAGGAGACCAGCCTGGGCTACATAGTGAGTTCCAGGTCAGTCTCAACTACATAGTGAGACCCTGTCTCAACACCCCCCAAAACCCCAAAAAACAACAACAACAACAAAAAACCAAAATAAAACTTCCCAGCATTAGCTTTCTTAATTTTAAAGCATCAGTTATGGCTTGATGATGATGAAATTCCTTTTTATCATTGAGTTTTTTGTAAACGAGTTTGGTAAAGAAAAGAAAAAACAAAGTTGGCAAGGGAGTCACACATAAAAATTAATACTCAAGTAGTATAATATAAAGTAGATTATCATTTTTGTGAGGTAAGAATTTGGGACAATAACTCAAAACATGTCATCCTTAAAATAGTAAGTATGACCCCCTATCTTAATAGGTATCTCAGTTTACAAAAAGTCACATCTAAGAATTCAACATTTGGGCTGGGGATTTAGCTCAGTGGTTCCACCCTCTGCCTTGCAAGCTCAAGGTCCTGAGTTTGATTCCCAGTACCCAACCCCCCAAATACAACATTTAATTTTGATTTGAAACATCTCTAAATTAGAATCACTTTATAACTTTCTTTCTGAGATATAAATTCAAGGATTAAGAACTGTAGATACAAATCTCACAGTATAAAATCAGACATGATGGCACATGTCTATAATCCCAGGACTCTGGAAGCTGAGGCAGGAGGATCATTGTGAGCTCAAGGCCAGCCTGACTGTAGTAAGTCTGTCTCAAAATACAAAAAACACACACATCCAAATCTCATAGCATAATATATACATACTATTGTTCAGGATAAAAAGATTGATTAAAAATTTTCTTTCAATAATTTAAAAGAGGGACATAGGATTTAGCTCAGCGGTTTCGCCGCCTGCCTTGCAAGCCTTGCAAGTGCAAGGACCTGAGTTAGATCCCTGGTACAAAAAAAAAAAAAAAAAAAAAGTAGAAATGGGTGACTATCAAAAGCTAAAGCTTAGTGTTCGTATCCTAAAGGATAGACAGGTCTTATTTGCTCAAAGGACTAAATACAGCAGGTAAGCTATGGCTGAATGTTTATAGAAGCCTTGATAAATAAACTGCTTGGATACAGCCTCATATATTAAAATACCTGTAGAGAAAATATAACTTTTCTCCTAAGAGTCGACTATATTATTTATTCTAGTTCCTAGTCTGGATGCTGGACCTCGGAAATACAAAGATAGTTTCTGATTTCACACAACTCCAAGTCTAGGGCTAAGGAAGAGCAACTGAGGGGCTGGGGACTTAGCTCAGTGGCACCTTGCCTGCCTTGCAAGCACAAAGTCCTGAGTTCGATCCCCAGTACTTCAACAACAAAAAAAAGGAACAGAAACTGTCTATAATTGGTGAGACATAGGCTATAAGAAGAAATGAAGATAAAGGGCTGTGGGTTAATACAGTGTGCTTATTAACTGCATTTGACTGGAGGTCATGGAAAACTTCACAAAGATTTAAAAGTGCTATATGCTAAGTCAGCAAGAATGTAAATGAGGAATGAAGGGAAAATGTAAGTAAGCAAGGACTTGTTGTGTATATTAGAGGAGTAGGGGACTGGGGATTTAGCTCAGTGATTTTGCTGCCTGCTTCTAAAGCACAAGCGCAAGCTCCTGAGGTTAAAAAAAAATAAATAAATAGAGGACTTGGGACTAGGGGGAAATTCTTAGCAAGCAGAAGAGACGAAAATGCCTACTCTAAATGGCTTTCACCAAAAATAAAAGGAAAAATTAAACACGGATAGAATACATACTGGCAACACTCAATTTACATATATATGATTTCTAAAGCACACATTTAATGTCCTGTTCAACTCATACCTAACCAGAGATCTAGATCTTCAACCTTCCCTGGAGTTATGTGGGAAAGGTTCCAGGTTCCAAGTTTCAGATCCAGGCAGCGCAAGTGACATGCAGAACACACAACTAGGAACAAGCTAGTCATAGTCAAGAATCTGAAACAGGCATCTACTTGAATGCCTTGGCCATAGTTTGTACTTGATAAATGCTTATTCAATGAGAAAGCAAACAAAGCCTTGGATATCAAATGTTTTCTCGGGCTTTCAAATATCAGTCTGAGCCAAGCATGGTATCACATGCCAGTAATACCAACTACTGGGGAGGCTGAAGAAGGAAAATTGAAGTTTGACCCCAGCCTGAGCAATCTGGTGAAATCTTGTCTTTAAATAAAAATAAAGAAATGCTGAAGATAATAGCTAAAACTTGGAAACAGTCTAATTGCCCATCGACTGGAGAATGGAAAAAGAAAATGTGTTCTTTTATAAAATGGAGTACTATTCAGCCATAAAGAATGAGAAACTAGAGACATTTATAGCTAAGTGGATGAACACTGAGGAGGATATATTCTTAAGTGAAATTAATAGGACACACATGTGTAAATACCAAATTGTTTCTCTGGTGTGATAAACTACCAGTGTACATTAAGAATCAAAATATATAATTAATATTGTGAAATAGGACAAAAGGTCTCAAGGTGTAGGGGAAGTGGGAGGGGTAGGGGAAAGGTAAGAAGGGAAAAGAAAAAAATAAGAGAAAAGAAAAAAATGGAAATAAAGTCTTTATAAATAGTGAAGGGTGGAGGGGGGTGAAGGTAGTTCAGTGGAATGGGGAAAAAAATGAGAAAATACATCATGTAAATGTATAAGATCCCAATGATGACTGTAACTGTACTGTATACATCAAATGTACCAATAAAAGAAAAAAAAAGAAATGCTGAAGAGCCAGGCTGAGGCAAGAGGATTTTGAATGTGAGGCCAGCCAGGGCTACACAGGGAAGACTGTCTCAAAAAAATAAAACCCTGGGGGATGTAGCTCAGCACTCCTTGGGTTTCATTACTAATAGGAAGGGATCAATCTGTTTTCAACTGTGAGAGGCCATTAAATATCCCTTATTACTTTTTCTCTGCTTTCCAGTCACACCACCTTCAGATTCAGATTACAGCACTCTTTATCCAGTCTACTCCTTGAGACATACAAGTCTCTGTGGTATTTTTTCTCATATAGACATAGAAACAGTTAATTCCAAACTTCCAACTCTTTGTCTCTGAACCCAGTAATTATTTCATTGAGTCAGAGGAACATCCTATATAAGGTTAATCCAGCCTTTTTGCTCATAAAAGCCTTTGAACATAAGGCCATTGGAACAATACGCTAAACTCTAGTTGTATCAGTTTTCCTTAGGGGATTGGTTCCAGGATCCTATAGGAAACCAAAATCCAGGGATGCTCAAGTTCCTGACAAAAAACGGCAAGAGTACTTGCATATAACCTATGATCATCCTCCTGTAGACTTTAAATCATTTCTAGATTACTTGTAATTATGTAAATAGACCCACTGTATTATTTAGGAAATGACAAGTCTGTACATGCTTAGCACAGACTCAATTTTTCCCCAAATATTGCTGATCTGCTAAACCTACTGATATGGAGGCCCACTGTATAATCTATCATAATTTTATCTTTATACTACACCCATTCTTGTCTAGGTTTCTATACTAAAACGACCCTGGCCAAAACAACTCTCTCAGCCTTGATATTACCACCTGGAAAACAGGTATAATACTGCCCTGCCAAGTTCACAAAGCTGTTGTGAAGACAAAATAGCAGAAGGATTGGGAAAATCTGATAACGATAACTGATATTTATTTTATTCAGAGCCGGACAACGTACCGAGCTTCAGAATGATGAACAAGAGAAGTAAACGTGGAGCTGAGGTAAAGCTTAGTGCGTATTCTAACTGCAAAGTGAACAACTCACACCGCACCGGGTGAGGCAGAGAATGGCGGGGTTAAATGGCTCGGACTTCTGGGTCGGGCTCTATCCCTAACCTTGTTACCTCAGATATCCTGTAACTTAACCACTTTGAAGTTCCGCTTCCTTTTCCGGGGAACGCGGATCATAGAACGGGTTCAAAGTGAACTGTGATGATACTTTCAAAAGGCTGAGCAGTGAGGTCTTGGCACGCATTTTAGTTTTCATCATTATATTTGTTTTTATCAATTTAACGTTGGTACCATGACTACTGGGACGCAGGGAAGTCTGCAATCTGGGGGACCCCTGAGTGGCGCGGGCCCTTGGACAAGATTCTCCTTTTCAGGGCTTCGGTTTCCCGCCTCAAAAAAAAAAACGTGTTGGCTGGCTGATCTACACTTGCGCCCCGC